TTGTTGGGTGAGAAGTAGTAAAGACTCCTTTGCAATTATAAATCTGTGGATTCCTCCCTCTGTTCCCTCAGTTTTATATCATTTTTTGGTTTTGGTTTTATATCGTGTATGTAACGGATCTGTTGTCAGGAAAATGTGTATTCAGGATTTTACTCTTCATGGTGAATTTTCCCTGTCTTTGTTGTGTAAAGTTCATCTTTTCTTCTAGCAGTTTTATTTGCTCTGCAATTTAGATTTTCTGATATGAACATGGACATGTGGTTGTTGTTTCAGAAGATTTTGCTTGCCGTGTCTGTTTTATAACCTTCCTATACACCATTCGATTTGAAGTGACTTTCATGGAGAGGTGTGATTGTAGGATGTGTTGTTTTGAACTAACATGTGTTTTACATGGTGTGTTCCAACTACTGCCATTGCTTTTCAGTTCAATCTAAACTGAACATTTTGTTATGTGTCCTTGTGTTAGAAACTCATCTGATGCACAGCAAGACAGTCATGAGCACTAGGATGGTATTATGTATTTAGCAGAAAGACAGATATAGCTGGGCCCAGCATCATATTTTAGTGGTTAAAGTCCTCGCCTTGCATGCCTGCGATCGCATATTGTCGCCAGGTCTAATTCCGGGGGGCCCGTTTCTCCCAGCTTGTGACCTGGGAAAGCAGTTGAGGAAAGCCTTAAGCCTTGCTTTCTGCACTCATGTGGGAGACCCAGAAGAGCTCCTGTCTCCTGGCTTCAGATTGGCTCAGCTCCGGCCGTCGCACTCACTTGGGTAATGAACCATCGGACACTGTATATTCCTCTCTGTCTCTCCTCTTTGTATATCTGCATTTCAATCAAAATAAATAACTTAAACAGACAGATATATCTCATTTCTCAGACTCCCATAGAGGTTAGGTTTTTAGATCAACACTAGTTGAGCAGGGTGCCTTCAGCTGTGTGTCGTCTCTGGTTGGCCTTCAGTGGTTATGGGTTTCATTTTGTCAGCATTCAGAAAGCCAGTGTTTCTGAGGATGCTGTGCTGACAGATTGAGCACCTGTCAGCCTGGGGCATGTTAGTGGATCGTGATTGCTTCATTTGATCAGGGCGTAGGGTTCTTGAGCAAAAGCTCAAAGTGAGATCTAGCATGGAGATATTTACTATAGAGGTGGGAATTGAGTTCTGAGTCTTGAGATTCATGTTGCTTTCTTTTTGCCTATAGTGGCAGTTTTAGGCATTAATTCTAAAATGTTGTGTTCTCGTTTCTATTCATTTTTCTTTCTCTTCTGGAACTTCATTAACATCGTGGTAGCCAATTGGGATTGTCCGGCATGTATCATAGAGTTGTAATATTTCCCATCTCATTTCTTCATATTGTTCATAGTTTATGCTTTAGTGCAACATCTTTGTTTTTCTGCATTAAATGTTTAAAAATTCATTCATTCATTTTTTTTTCTTGAAAGGCAGATGTTGCATAGAGAAGGAGAGACAGGGTGATCTTCCATGTGCTGGTTCACTGCACATAGGGCTGTGTTGGCCAGATCAAAGCCAATTTGAAGCTGGGTGCCAGTAGTTTCTCCCAGGTGTTTCACATTGATCTAGCAGGGTCTCAAGGACTTGGGTCATGCTCCATCCCTTTCCCAGGCCAGAGCAGAATGCTGGATCAGAAGTGGAGCATCTATGTTACAAACCAGTGCTGCTAATGGATGCCATTACCGAAGGGACCAAGGATTAGATTGAGGTGCCATGGTGGCTTCCCTGAGTTCATGGATTTTTTGCTGGGTACCTGTATTCTGCTATCTACAAGATCTGTGAGGTGTGTATTTTTAACTATTCATCCTATTTATGTGGTTATTTATTCATTCTTTTGTTTTATATGACAGACAGATCAACTGAGGAGGAGAGAGGTCTAAATTTGTTCCACTCTGCATTTGGCCACAATGGCTGTGGCTGAGACAGTCTGAAGCCAAGAAGTAGAAGCTATCTCCTGTTCTCCCTTGTGGTTGTCGGGGTTGAAGGACTTGGCATTCCTCTGCTCTTCTGTCCAGGAACTGGATCCAACATGGAGTACCTGAGACATGAAAGGACACCAATATGTGACACTGGTACCACTGGCCGAGACTTCTGCAAGAGCAGCCACTTGGCTAACTGCTATAATCTACTCTACTATGCCTTTCTGGAGCCTTGGATGTCACACAGCTCTTGGTGTGTGCAAACTGGGTAGCAACCAGCTTCAGGCCCTGGCTGGTGAATTCCTTGACTTGAATCTGAGACTCAGGGCTGCAGAAGCATCTGAAGCTGCAGATCTCCAGATGCAGAATGGAGACCCTTCTTGGTGAGTGATGACATCTCTTCTTGTTTCCTGTTGTGATTTTTTTTTCTTCTGGTTTTGCTATGCCTTTCTAATTCAATTATTTGTTTTCTAATATTTTATGAAATGTGTGTACAAGCCCAGGAAGTCAATTATATAGTGGACAAGGATAATAGAAACAGAACATGAGAAGGAAGAAAGCTGGGAATTCAATCAGGTCATTGAATCTTCTTCAAAATCTGCCAGAGCTATACAGGAAAAAAGGCATTTTGTTGTCTCTTAAGCATGTTATTTTTCATTTAGAAAATGAGAAGGCCCTAGTTAGCACTGTAAATATAATTGTGAGCATTAACATTAACATTTAGATTTAATGTATGTGTATTAAAATTTATAGCAGTTCATCACTACACCATGGGTATGCTTCCCAAATGAATATGTCATCATGTATGAAACACAAGCTTATATATTTTTTCCTCCTTCACATCTTTATAAGTAGTCACTTGGCAGTGCAAGGCAGGCAAGAAGAACTGGAAACTGAGTCTGGGTATACACAAACCCAGACATGCAGCCTTTCATTATTTTCTGATACCCTTGATTTTCTTCCCACTGGAAAAGTTTATAAACCTTGGGATTCATTGGAGGGAGAATTTTTTCAGAAGCAAATTTTAAAATTCAAATTTGAGACTCTGAACAAACTAATTTCAGACATGAAAATGAAGGCAAAGTTCAAAGAATCGGGAACCTCTCATCTAGAAAGTCAATTAATACTACTGAAATGTCCTGGAGTAGGTCAAAACAGGTGAAAGTGTTAATGTTTGAATAAACTTCCATGGGGATGAGAAGGAGTGCTGTTTCCAGAGGTAGAATCTTCCTAGAGTTCATTAAAACTTGAAAGTTGGAGATGGGAATGATGGAAGGTATACCAACTTTTTGAATTTGAGGTGCGAAGGAGAATCTTTGAGCTGTCATGATTATAAAGTTCAGGAAGAAATTAGAACGAAATGACAAGAGCAAAGAGTGAATGCTGCATGTGCAGCATCAGGACACTGAGAGGGCAGAGGCTGTAATGCTGTGTATGCTGGAGATGATGTTCTCGGGAGCAGAAAGGCTCATGTTTGTTGATGACTTCTTATGTTGGGACCTTTTCCCTGATTTGCATGCCTGTGTCATGATAGGCATATAACAAGGGGAGGCATTGTTTCCCCTGCCTGACTCCAATAGCTCTTGAGAAGCTAACTTGGTGTATGTGTAACTATTCACATTGCTGTCTGCACAGGAGCCTCTTAGTCAGATGCCCTCTAGTGAGAGAGCTCAAGAGCTCCCTTCTGTTAGCCCAAATGCCTGCAGTGGCCAAGGCTGGGCCAGGCTAAAGCCAGGAGCCAAGGACTCAGTCCCAATCTCCCACATGAGTGACACTAATTTCACCCTTGTGCCATCACCTGCTGGATCCCAGAGTCTGCATCAGCAGGATGGTGAGGATCCATGACCTCAACCAGGCTCTCCATCTGGGATGCAGGTTAAGCAGCATCTCAGTTGTTAGGCCCAATGCCTGCCCAGAAACCAAGAGTCTTAGTACATGGACACTTAATTTAGGTTTTACATTTACAAAGATACTAAAAGTAACTGAGACCACTTGATTTAAGACTACTGTACATTGGACCAAGGGATGAAAAATAATGTGAACGTGGATACACTTTGCAAGGTGAGCATTCATGGATCCAATTAGAGTCTAGAATTTCACTGATGTTTGATAATTTATAAGAAACAAGGTAAAATAATGAGTCAGTCCATTGTGTTGATCACTATTTCAGGAGGATTAGCACAAAGGCAGACAGTGAATAGTTTCATACTTCAAAAACCAAACTGAGACCCAGCACAGTAGGCTAGTGGCTAAAGTACTCCCCTTGCACATATAAGGATCCAGTATGGGTGCTGGTTCTAATCCCAGCGTCTAGACGGCCTCACTTCCCATATAACTCCCTGCTTGTGACCTGGGAGTTTTTAGGGACATTTGCAGTATGAACCCGCAAATGGGGAAGATAAGCCCCCTCCACATTTCTGAAAAGTTTTTTTAAGAAGTAAACCATGGGCCCACCGTGGTAGTCTAGTGGCTAAATTCCTTGACTTGCCTTCCATCCAGCCGTGTTTAAAGAGCATTTCAGAATACACACAGAGACAGGCAACATCTGGACACATCTCTAAGGTATGCATGAACAATGGCAATGAATTGGTGATTGAGTTTATTCCTTTAGTTGCATGTCTTTGAAGGGAAGGGTAGAAGCTTTTTGTTAACGTTGATTTATTTTTGGGTGTAGTGGTTAATGTCCTCACTTTAAACCCACCAGGATTGCATATGGGCGCCGGTTCTAATCCTACGGCCCTGCTTCCCATCCAGCTCCCTGCTTGTGGCCTGGGAAAGCAGTCAAGGACGGCCCAAAGCCTTCAAATCTTGCACCTGCGTGGGTGACCAAGAGGAGGCCAAGGCCCCTGGGTTTGGATTGGTGCAACTCTGGCCATTGTAGCTGCTTGGGGAGTGAATCATCAAATGAAACATCTTCCTTTCTGTCTCTCCTTCTCTGCACACATCTGCCTTTCCAGAAAATAAATACATCTTTTGTAAAAGTTCAGGAATAAAAAGAATTGAAAAATAACTACAGTTTTGTCCAAAAAAGCTGAAGTCAGTGTGTATGAGAAGTCTGCAGTAAGTTCACAGAAATGTGAATTATTAAACCAAGCAGAGTTTTCCCACATTATTCCACATTTCACAAATGTTTGAAAGTAGCATGATTCATCACAGAGATGTCATTTACTGTGTTGTAGTTGGATAGTTTTGAGATATTTGTTACTATGATCTGCACAGCTATGAAGATTGCTTTAGATGTGGATGGTTGTACCTAAGCATTTCCTTTGGTTTGTGTGGCAGTTAGAACTCGTGCAGCATAGGAGTGCTGCTGTGGTGCAGTAGGTGAAACCATGGCTTACACCACCAGCATTCATACCAGTGCCAGTTTGAGTCCCAGCTGCCTCACTTCCCTTCAGGCTGCCAGCAGGGGAGCCTGGATCCCTGGCACCTGTGTGGGTAATCCAGAAAAAAACGCATGTTTCATTTGGACAGTAAATGAGCCAGAAGTGAAGAGAAGTCATCTTTGGTTTTGTCTCCCCTTTTCTCTCTGTATTTTAAAAATACATACTTATATTCATGCTTTCCCTTGTTAATCTTCCCCTAAGTTCTATGTATTGTTTTTCAAGATTTATTTATTTTGTTGGAAAGGCAGATGTACAGAGAGGAGAGACAGAGAGGGAGATCTTTCTGTCGATCATTCACTCCCCAAGTGGCGGCAACGGCTGGTGCTGTACTGATCTGAAGCCAGGAGCAGGTGCAGGGTCCCAAGACTTTGGGCCATCCTTGACTGCTTTCCCAGGCCACCAGCAGGGAGCTGGATGGGAAGCAAAGCTGCTGGGATTAGAACTGGCACCCATATGAGATCCCAATGGGTTCAAGGTGGGGACCTTAACCATTACTCTATCATCCGGGCCCAGTTCTATGTAGTATAAATTGCCTTTGACTATGTGCATGACTCCACTGAATCTACTCCAGGAGACACAGTTACTTTCCTCTCACATTCCATAATGACGGGCAAATCTTTGGCCACTGTGTTATTTGATTTTACATAGCCTTGAAAGCATTGAGTGTTTTTAAGCCTGTTCTTCATAATGCAATATTGTTGTGTTATCCTCCGTAATTTTCTATTCAAAACAATTTTTTTCACTGTCAACTAAGAGCTCACCTATTCTAAAGAACATTTTTCTCCTCCAGATGATCATTTCTTTGATAAGGATTTTTTTTTTTTGACTTAGCATCTGCTCCCTCTATTATTTTTCAAATTTAGTTGTGATAGCAGTTGATGACTCCACAATCCATATCTGGAATCTAGACTGCTCTCTTGGTCCCCATTTAATCCTATCATAGTCTCCACTATTATGCCGCCAGAATGTCAAACTTCACCATTGCTAACACCCCCCTGACACAATAATCAAAACAGATTCTCGTTTTTTTCTATGAACTATAATGAATTTCTGCACCATAGTGTGTAACCTGATATGAAATAATAATGCTTTTAATTTTTCCCTTGCTTTCATGCACCAATGCATATATCCATGCATTTCTACATATTAAATATTTCCAACTATTTCCTCTTAATTATTTCTGTAATAATGCTAGTTTGGACAGCTGTTGTCATCAACCTTAATTTCTCCCATCTTCCCAAAACCATTTTCAAGTCTTTGCTGGTTCTTTTGTCAAAATCCATTCACTACTTACTGCTTCTTCCTCTCACTCTAAATTCTCAAGGAATCTCTTTTGGTTTTAATTGGGACCTACCATTTCTTCGCATGATAGTAATTCTTTCAGGGAGGTAGACATTAGTCAAATGGTGAAGATACTGCCTTGGACACCTCCATGCCATGGTGGAGTGCCTGGCTCTATTCCCAAACCTGGCTTTCTGATAATGCTCAACACAGAAGCCTACAGGTTATAGCTCACATAGCCTATTCAATGCCACCCACATGGGAAAATGGACTTGAGCTCCTGGCTCCTGGTGTTTGACTGATATAGCCTGTGGTAGTGTAGGTATTTGGAATGTTATTTAGAATTTGGCTCACGCTCAGTCTCTCTTTCTCTCCTTCTCTGCCTCTCCATTTACAATAAATTTAAAAACTAGAATTTACTTTTAAACATGTTGAAATAATTCACAAGATAGCATAACTGTTCAACTCATTTTCAGGTAATTTTCACATGATCATCTAATCTCCTTGCACCAACATGGCAATAACTCTATTTCATTTTTAATAGTTCATCCATTTAAAAAATTAGGCTTTCACCTGAACTCCTTAAAAATTAATTATTTTCAAAGCGTCTGTGCTTTGGCTGCCACATAGGGTTCTCGATCCGAAGAAAAATTCTGAAAGATTTTTGTTGAATGAATAAACAAAACAATAAGAGACATGGAAGAAGTTTTTTAAAAAGCAAATGTAGTGTACAGTTTTTCAAAACCGATATGAAATATGTCAAAACTGATAGAACACATTTTATTTGTACAGCAATGAAAACCTAAAATTGCATGTCTGTAAGTGGGCCTCCAGAGCCCAGTGCAACAAGGAGCCCCACAGCCCCTTCCGGCCACACAGAACTTCCCAGGGTGAGGAGAGGAAGCACAGCAGGGCGCCCTGGTGTCCAGGAGGAGGAAGAAAAGGGTCCCCAAAGGTGGGGCGTCCAGCGGAGGAATCCTGCGTGGTGCTGACGCGGAGGGATTGGCCGCATGGTCACTTCCTGTGAGATGCTGCGGCCCTGCACCCTCAGTCAGTGAAGAGCCAGTGGAGAAAGAGGACAAGTCACTGGGTTCTCCAGAGAACTGTTCTCTTGCAAGAGATGCTCTGCGGGTTCCGGCTCCGGGAGAGGACGTAAGGGCTCATGGACTCCAGCTGAAAATCATCCTGCCTGCTGTCCACCTGCCCCCCACCTGGGGAGGGTCTCTCAGTGGCTGCCATGGTGGACATGGGGCCGGCTGTGTGCGAGTTGGTGCCTGGTCCCAGAATGCCTGGTCTTTGAGCCTCGCTGGAGGACTTCATAGACCCACTGGGCTTCATCAGCACCATCCGACCTGTTACTGAAAACAAGGACACCTACAAGGTAAGACCCCCAAGGTCCAGGGGTCCAGGAAGGGGAGGTGGCAGCTTGGCCTTAGCACCTGTGTGGGAGTGCAGGTGGCAGCTTGTCCCCAAGAGCATGGGTAGTTTGGCCATCTCAATCACAATGGTGCAGGAGTGGAGGTGGCTGCTTGCCTTCCTGCGGGGCTTAGGAGGACGGGCCGTGGCTTAGTAATCAGTGAGGGTTCCAGGAGGCGAGGTTGCAGCTTGGCAGTCTGCATGGGGTCTAGGAGGCCAGGTGGCTTGTCCCTAAGTGCAGGGTCCAGGAGGCAGGTGGTGGCTTGGTCCTTGGTGAGTGTTCCTGGAGGGCAGGCAGTATCTTGGCCCTTTGTGCATTGTCTGGGAGGGCTGGTGGCAGCTTGGTCATTGGCATGGTCCATGAAAGGCATGAGGTTTCTTGGCCCTCGGCATGGGTTCCAGAAGCGCAGGTGGCAGTTTAGTCCTCTGTCCTGGATGGGGAAGTGCAGGTGGTTGCTTCACCATCAGCATGGGGGCCATGAGGGCAGGCTGCGGCTTTGCACTTTGTGTGTTGTTTTCTGGGAGGGCTGGAGTCTTTGGTGCAGAGATGAGAGGGAAGCTGGGGCCTGGCACTCAGTGTCGTCTCTGGGTATAGTGGGCACCTGTGGGCACCTCTCTCTCTCTTTCCTTTTTTTCTTATTTTAGTTAGTGGTGTATCAGTGTTACTTATTTTTCAATAAATCTGTTCTTCATTGATCTTTTATCGCTTTTCTATTTTGTTTATTCTCTAATTTCATTCCTCCTACTAATTTTGTGGTTCTTGTTGTTTATCTTTTATCTTGATGCCATTTATCTGATACCGTTCAGTTTCTTAGTGTAAGCGCTGGCTGCCATAAAAGTCCCTGTTAGCACTGCTGTTGTTGTGTCCCTTCAATTCTGATGCATTGTGCTATCTCCATTTGTTTACAGGAAGCTTTTGACTCTCCTTGATTTCTTCTGTGGCTCTTTGCTTAGGAGCAAGTTGTTAAGTCATTTGTGAGTTTACATAAATTTCAGGTATTTGTAGGTTGTTAATTTCTCACTGAATTAGATTGTGATAAGAAAAGAGAAATGATATGGTTTCATTTTTTAAAAATTTATTGAGACTTTTGCTTTATATCTTAGCAGTGAAGCATGCTGAAAAAATTCCACGTACTGATGAAAAGGATGTTTTCTGGAGGTGTGAAATGAGTTCTCTCAGATGGCAATGAAGTTCTGTTAGTCCACAGTATAGATTAGCTCTGTTGTTTCTTGGCTGATTTTCTGTTTTGTTGATCTGTCCACTGATGGGAGTGAGGTGTCGGAGGGGAGGGGACCGCTCCTTGCTGTCAAACTGCATCAGCTCCCAGGGATAGGAGATGGCTCTTTGATGACACCTTAGAGACCCCGATGTGAGGAAGAACATTCCCAGACTGTTGCTTGAGTGATTTGGACAGTTCTGACACATTGTTAGCTTTATTGCCTCATGGTTGAGAAGATCTTTTCCAGTTTCGCTGGCTGCCCAAGCCCACCTTAGTGCATCCACAGACCCGAGTACTTGGTGCAAGCTTGGTCAGGAGAATGGTCTGATCTGTTCTGCTTTCCATTTCCTGATGTGGCACTTGATGTCCCCAGCTGGCCCAGATGAACTGTGCAGTGGGGTACACTCTCCAAACATTGCACAGGCCTCAGCACCTGAGGAGGCCCCGTCCCCATTCTTGGGCTTCCATGAGTTTGTTTCTCTGCTTTTGAGTAAGCTCATGCTTGGTATTTTTAATTGCTTTTACGGCAACTTACCAATCTCTTGTAAGGAGAGAAAGGGAGGGAAAGAGAAGCAGGAAATTGGATGCCAAGTATAGCAGCTGGAACCTGAAACTGTCAGCTCTATGGGATCCTAGTGCTTGCAAGATGAGGATTTAGCCAATGAGCCATTGTACCAGGCCCTGGATCTCTCTCTATATTTAAGATTCACTTATTTTTATTGGAAAGAGTAGCACAGAGAGAAGGAGAGACAGAGATCCTCCATCCGTCATCCAATTTGCCAAATGACCATAATAGCTGGGGCTGAGCCAGTCCTTCTGAGTCTCCAGCATGAATGCAGGGGACCAAGGACTTGATCCATCCTTTATTGCCTTTGCAGCCACAAGCCAGGAGCTGGATGGGCGGTGGAGCAGCCAGGACACCAGCTGGCACCTGTTTGGGATGCCAGCGGCACAGGTGGAAGCTTAGCCTACTGTGCCATGGTGCTGGCCACCAAATCATCATGTTTTAGTTGAGTTTTTGTTTAAGTCACTTATTCCAGTGATTTGTTTTCCCTGAAAATTTCATTCTCTTTTTCATTTTCTGGATGAGTGGTTTTCTAGATAAAAGTAGTAAAAAGAGTTTCTGGTAATATTCTGGTTAAAGTGTATGTGAGGGCTACTGTTGTGGCGCAGTGCGCTAATCTACCTTCTGTAGTGCCGACATCCCAAATGGCCATGCTGCTGTTTCCTCAGTTATCTTTGCTGCTCACTCGAGACCAGCTGTTTTAAGGTTAGCTAGTACCTGAGGCTTTCCTTTTGCTTCATCCTGTGTTGCAGGTCTTTGTTTTCCTTATGATTTTGATGGATCATATGTTCTAGTATAATGAGGAAGAAGGTCAGTGGGAAGTGAAGTAGAAACTTGCTTCTTGAGGCCTGTGTGTTGTTGTGGATGAAATTGCTGCCTTTGTTGCCAGTGTGAGTCCTGACTGCTCTGCCTTCATCCAGCTGTCTGAGAATGACCTGAGGGGAAAAGTTGAAGATGGTCCAGTTCCTTAGATCCCTGCACCCATGCGGAGGCCCAGATGGAGTTCCAGCTTCTGGCTTTAGTCTGGCCATTGTGGCCATCTGGGGAGTGGACCACTGGATGGAAGAAACGTGTCTGTCTCTTCCATGTTTGTTGCTTTTAGTTTTAAAATGTACACATACATGCATATTTAGTAAAAAGAATCTTGCTTTTGTGGAGAGCTTTTGTAATGGTGTGAGACTGAGTTGGTTTCGTGATAAGTAGAGCTGCTGCCTGCACAGCCGCCACCCCGTTGTTCAGGTCCTGGCTGTTCTACTCCATCCAACCCCTGCTGATGGCCTGGGACAATCACCAGAAGATGGCACAGGTTCTTGAGCCCTTGTCGTCTATATGGAAGACCTGGGTGAAGCTCCTGTGGATGGAAGAGCTCTTCTCATTTCACTTTTGAATAAGAGTATAGATTTAAAAAATTAAATTATGAATCATTTTAGTTCAGTAAAATGATGTGAAAGTTTGTTTCTTCGTTTCCATGATTGCTGCTGAGAGTGTTGCTGTGTTAACCCATTGTGACTTATTTGTAATTTATTTGAGTGGCAGAGAATCCAACAGGGAGACCTCCTTCCACTGATCACTGTCCACACGTCTGCAGTTCCTAGCGCAGGGCCCAGCCACATCCAGGAGTCAGGAACTCAGTCTGGGTTTCCATGTGAATGGAACCTGGCAGCTGAACCTCATCGGCTGCCTTTTATTTTGTACAGTATGAATAATTTAGTTAGAGACAGAAATTCGTCTGGTGTTCAAACCAGACAAGAGGTACACATAGAGTAAATCTGTTAAATGTCTAGTTTCAGTGTAGGCACTCTAATGTGAATTAAACTTTAGAGTTTAAAACTTTTGAGAGAGGGTTCAGTATGGTAGCCTAGTGGCTAAAGTCTTTGCCTTGAATGTGCCAGGATTCCACATGGGTGTCGGTTCTAATCCTGTTAGCCCTGCTTCCCATCCTCTCTGCTTATGGCCTGGGAAAGCAGTTAAAGATAGGCCAAAGTTTTGGGACCCTGCACCCACATGGGAGACCCGGAGGAGGCTTCTGGCTGCTAGCTTTGGATAATTGGCTCAGTTCTAGCCGTGGCAGTCTCTTGGAGAGTGAATCAAAGGACGGAAGATCTTCTCTGTCTCTTCTCCTCTCTGTAAATCTGACTTTGCAATAAAAATAAATAAGCCTTAACAAACAAACAAACAAGAAAAACTCCGTGAGAGGGACTGGCACGAGGGCTCAATGACTAAATGCTCACCTGGATGTGCCAGGATCCCTTGTGGTTGAGTGTGTGTCCTAGTGGCTCCACTTCTCATACAGGTCCCCGCTTGCGGTCTGAGAAAGAGGAAGAGGGTGGCTCAAACTTTGGGACCTTATCCCCCTGTGGGAGAGTGAGAAGAAACTTCTGGCTCACCTCAGCTGTGGCCATTATGGCCATTTGGGTAATGATTCAGTGGAAGAACATCTTTTTGCCTCTATTTCTCTGTAAATCTGATCTGCTTTTCCAAGAAATAAAGTTTTTTTTTTTTTTAATAAATTAAATTACTTTTGGAAAGTCAGATATACAGAGGGAAGGAGAGATGGAGCGAAAGATATTCTCTCTGCTGGATCACTCCACAAGTGGCCAGAACTGAGCCAGTCTGATGCTAGGAAATTCTTACATGTCTCTCACAAGGGTTTGGGCTGTCTTTGACTGCTTTCTCAGGCCAGAGGCAGGGAGCTGGATGGGATGTGGAGCAGCCAGGGCATGAATCAGTGCTCATATAGAATCCTGGCGTATGGAAGTCGAGCACTTTACCCACTAGGTTGTCACTCTTGGCCCAAAAATAAATAAATCTTTTAACCCAAGATTTATTTATTTTTATTACAAAGTCAGATATGCACAGAGGATGAGAGACAGAGAACTTCTTCTGCCTGATGGTTCACTCCCCACGTGACTGCAAAGCCTGGTGCTACGTGATCCAAAGCCCATGGCTCTGAGCCTCTTCCAGGTTTCTGACACGGGTACAGGATCCCAAGTCTTTGGGCCATCCTCGACTGCTTTTCCAGGCCACATTTAGGGAGTTGGATAGGAAGC